TGTATCTGACAGTGTTTCTCTGCTATTCATAGAGTTTTCAGTGACTAGCAATTCGGAAGTAGTTTGTCACTCTTTCTGCCTAGTCTGTCTTTGTTTGGAAGCTCATCTGAAACCTGTCCACCATGGGTGAACCTGCTGGTTATTTAAAATATTGGTGGCATAGCCCTCAGAATCACAGAAATTCAAACCACCACAGCACAACAGACGAGCGGCGGTTGTGTGGTCGCTGTTAAACACGAATCTCCTTGCGTTACGGCCCTTAAGTCCAGCTCAAAGGTGGGATTTCTGTCCTCGGATGTCGCGTCAGTCAAGAGGCAGAAGTGCAGCAGGGGCGACAGGGTTGTAATGAGACACTTTGGGCTGCGCTTGTGGGTCTCTAAGTTGGTTGAGCCTGCCTCAAAGCCACGATCCAATGGCTAGGCTGGGACGCACCCTCTCGCGTCCAGGGTAAATAGGACAGCCTGGCTGGCCGCTGCAGTCTCTTCAGTAGTCTTCAGTAATTAGAGTTCTATAAACATAATGAGTCCTGGTGTGGCACTGTGGATTAATGCATCAGACTGCAAAGTCTTTGAACAGCAACGTTGGTGGTTCAAGCTCACCAACTGCTCCTCAGAAACCCTTACAGGGTTGCTATGGGTCAGAATCAACTCGACGGCACTTTATAACAACAACAAAAGTAACCTAAAGAAAATTTATACCATATTAAGGAAAAATCAAGGTGAATTGCATTTTCTAAAGAACAGAAGAAAATCTATAGCAGTGTCAAATTTAGGAATAAGATACCTTTCAAAGAAATAGTGGAAGCTCTAAAAGCAAAGAGAAATACTTGTCCCGATGAAAATCAACAAAGACATAAACAAAATATGTGGGAAAAAATATGTGCAAAAGTAGATGGCAAAAGTAGTTCAAATACCCTGATTTGATGAAGTGCCAAATTGAATTCACAAAATTGTCATTTTTTTTCCTTTACTCATTATTCACTTGCATGAATATTGATGTCTA